TTTTTGGACTCATTTCTTTTTTAATAAACTCGTAGGTCCCTCTTCTCTTTCAGCCTTCAAAGTGATTTTTTCATTCCTCTAATGTATAATCACCTTTCGTTTTTATGATCAAAATGTATTAGATTATAGTGTTTCATCCAATTTAGATCAAGCATCACATCACACCCTCCTAGGTCCAACACTCCTAGGTCGGCCACATAATCTCTACCTTGTATTATCTACTGAAATTCCCTACACTTAGACTCACTCTTCATTCTAGCCCTATTAGCTACCGTCACTATTAATGGTGTAGTTTGCATTGTGGTCGGCTTTAATTCTCCTATAGGCCCTTATCTATAAAGCTATTAGTACTCCCACTATCAATCGAATACTAAGACTCCTTTTTCTCACACACCTTTTGATTTTGAAAGCATTAGAGGAAGTCTTATCACTCAAGGAATGTAAGGAGATGCCATTGTCCATTTCGGTTATGACCTCCTCTTTTATTGTTGGTTGTTCCTCCTTCATTCTGTCATTTTCCGGTAGCTCACCTTGCTCTACTTCCTCTAACATCAAGTGTAGTAATTGTTTTAACTTATATTGATACCACAGGAAGTATCTATCTTCACACTTAAAGCATTTTCTAGGTTCCCTCATAATTTTAGTTCTATTGTTTGGTTTGTGTTGGTAATCTTTTTGTAATGGGAATGGTTAGTTTCGTTGGTAGGCGGGGTAGTGTATGCTTGGTTTTGTAACAATGATTGTAGTGTGAGAAGGTTTCTAGTTCAAGTTGCAGTGTATGTTGGGTGGTTTATTAGGGGTTAAGTGTGGTTTTTCATAGGGCCTCATTGACCTTTGATTGCTCAAAAGCTTCTCGAAGATCTAGGAGTTCGAACCTCTTCACGACCAAACTTAGGTATCCCCTTAATCCTCTTATGGATACCTTGACCAAGTATCCTTCCGTAAAGCCTCGGATTCATCCTTTTTACTAAGGATTTTAGATGCTCAAACCTCTCTTGATACTCCTTTATAGTTCCGGTCCGCCTTAACTTGTGAAACTCTTCTATCATAGCTGTTTCTTCTTATTCTTCAAACCTCCTAGATAAATCTTATACAAACTCTTCCTGACCTAATCTCCCCTTATCCTCTTTCCACTCCCGATACCATATATCGGGTTTAACATCTAAGAATATGACAACCATCTCAACCTTAGCTTAATCTCCGACCTTATACACTTGGAACACCTTTTGGCATTTTCGAGCCCATAGTCCGGGGTTTATCCCATCGAAGTATTGGATATCCATTTTTGGCCATAATTGGTTGCGTGCTTCGTGATGAGAGGGTGAGTCTTATTTGGTAAAGTTGTATTGGTCGAGGTAGTGAGGGGTAGTGGAATGTTTAGGGTGTAGAGAATGAATGTCTAAGGGTATGGACGGGACTCCCTTCCCCGTATGCATATCGTTATGAGAGAGGCTGCTAGCCCATGTGAGCCTCTAGTGTTTGTAGGTAGAAGAGCTTTCACGGACTCCACCAAGTATTACAAGGTCCGTTGATTTTGGGTCGGCATTTATGTGTTTTGCTCTAGGCGTTGGCAAGTTTCTATCCGTATTTTTGCTACATCGACTTGTAACAACCGAAGTTAGCCCTCTAAGTTTTTTATCCGTTCATCTAGGGTTTTAAGTTTAGTACCTATAGCTATGACGTAGAAGCTTTAATACCACTTATCGGTACACTGTGTCTGTGGTTTCCTTAATGATGAAAGAAGGGTTTGGTGAAGTTAGAAAGGAAGGAGAAATGACGGAAAAGAGAAGGAAGTAGAGCAAGGAAGAAGAAGAAGAAGTTAGGAATAATTTTTGGTAACCAAAAAAACTATCCTCAATGATTACATTCTTGTTGGATTTAAGGAAGCTAGGATTCCTTTGTACCGACCAACAAAGCTACAAAATGCTTAATAATAACATTCGTTATTGTAAAAGATTGTAGAGAAAATAACAATTTATAAAGCAAATTAACAATAATACCCCCTTTACTATTAAACTACCCAAACTTAACAAAACGAAGCTTTGCTTATCGTTTTGGCCCCCGATGCTTTTAGAGGCAAGGATACAAGCAATAACTTTACCGACCATCTTTATGATGCTTTGTGTCATAAGAAAATCAAGACCTTCATTGATGATGGGCTTGAAAGAGGAGATGAAATTCCCCTACGCTCTTGAAAATGATTGAAGAATTAAGAATTTCTATCATAATTTTCTCAAAAGACTATGCATCTTCTTTATGGTGTGTGGATAAACCGATGAAAATACTAGAATGCAAACAGAGTTATGGGTAGATTGTTTTACCGGTCTTTTATCATGTAGACCCATTTGATGTTGATGAATAGACGGGTAGTTTTGGGAATGCATTTTCCGAACTTAAAAAAAAATTTAAGGGGAAGATGGATAAGGTGCCAAGGTGGAGGACTCGAATTAACCAATACGACCAATACATCTAATTAGGATTCGCAAGTCACTAGGTAATTATAGATTTCTTTTTTACTTTTTTTTGGAAATTTCACATGCATATACGTGAGATCATTATTTATGCCATTTTTAGTCTCTTGCCCATAATTCGTTCTTGAGAATATAGCTTATGTTAATCTTTCTAGCTAACATGGGCAAAGTTAGGCGATGTTGATTTATAGCAACTAAAATTTATTGCTCATATTAATTTTTGTTCTCCTATAAGTTCTTTGTTCTTCATAGTTCGTAGTATTGATTTCTTGATCATTCTTTTGAGTTGTCCGGAAAGCTCGCTATTGAAACTAATAGAGTTAGAGGTGGGTGATATGTACATTGCTTTTAGTTTCACTCGAAGAGAATTTCCTTTTTTTTTTTTTTTACTTCGTGGTTCTATTGAATCTCTCTCTTTCAAACCTCTTTTATACAAATCGGTGGCAAGTTAGAAGTTGTTTGGCATTTTTGTCATGCAATTCGTTGTAGGGATAAAACTATGCCTTAGTATGAGGGGCCATGATACCATAAAAATTTTAGAAATTTTACATTTTAGTATTACAATTTTGAAGATTTTTAGTTCTACTTCTCAACTTAAGGCTTATTTCATAGGAATACATATTTTGCATCCCAAACAATCATGTATTATTTATATGGATTTTCTTTTATTTAATTTTCAAGCTTACTTTGATTGTTTTCCTATTGCGCCCTTCTCCCCTTCCAAAGATAGGATTAGAGGAGAGGGAGCGAATCATAGATGAACTCGGTTCGTTCTTCCATAGAGATTGGGCGGACGAGAGGGAAGGAGAAGATAAGATGAGGCGAAGAAGGGAGAAGAAGATGAGAGGAAAAAGGAAGAAAAGAAAGAAGAAAAATTGGGTTGGAAAGTACTACCTATTTATGTGTTTTTATGCTAGAAACAAATGTTTATGTGTTTTAGTCAATAATTAAAACTTTTGTACTTATAAATCGGTCTATTTATGTTTCTTAGTGCACAATTAAAACTTTTCACCCATTTTAAAGCTCAATTTACATATGCTTTTTAGTCAATAATTAAAATTTTTACGAGTATTAAATTAACTTCGACATGTAATAATATTCATAAATTGTATAATACTAAATAAAAAGTAACACTAGATAAAAAAAAAAAACGCACATCAAATAAAAAACTATAACTAATAAAAAAATTACCACAACAAAACACATACACACTCTTACATTATGCTAAAATTTTCTCGAAGCGAAGCTCGAGCATCCACACTAGTGGCGGACTAATTAATTAAAGGAATTAAGTCTTTAAAAAGATAAAGTGTCAACAATACATAAAAAAAAGGCAATTATCGGTAAATTGAGATTTTTTTTAATAAATAATAGAATTAATACAATCACTTATTTCTATATAATAGGCTAATTTTTAAATTTGTTTCTTAAAAAAATGCTTATAATCTATTTTTATGTTTTGATCTGGTTTTTATCAATCATTTTAATTAAAATTTTCAGCCAATTCATTAAATATTAAGTGTGTGATTGGCACATAATATGTAATTTAATAAAATTATTTTTGTTATTTAATACAAGTGATCTATATCTACTAATATAAAAATAAATTTATAATAAATTGGTTGGAAAGTTGATCAGAATGATAGATTAAAAATCAACTCAAAATATAAAAATAGATTAAAGACTATTTTAGAGACATATTAAATAATTGACCTATATATATATATATATAAAATCATGATATTAACCTAAATAATAATAATAATAAATGGAATATTATTTCCAAAACTCAAGAGAAATGGGTTGATATTTTTAATGCCTACTAGTTGGATATTCGCGCTACGCTGCGATTAGACAACCATTATATGCATAGGGATAACTATTACATGAGATGAAAATGTTGAACACATTCATAGCAAGCGAGTAACAACTGTTTATAAAGGCATCCAAGTTCGTTTTCGGTAAGCAAAAGCAACCATTGTTGCCGTAATAAAACTAATAACTATTAAAACCTAATTTTTGCTTCATTTATTTTTATTTTTATTTTTTATTTCATTGCAAAAGTACCAAAAAATGATAAAACAAACAAAAATACAAAATATATAAAAAAAGGAAAAAAAAGTCAATTAGAATAGTTAGCTTAGATTAATTCTAAAAAAGGAGGTTAATTGAAAAGATAAAAAGTTAAAAATAATTAAAAGGACAATTGAGGGTCTAATTAAAAAAATTCAAAGTTATGTTCTTTAATTAAAATTAGGGAGGCACAATTGAAATAGATAAAAAGGAAAATCCCAATTAATTGAAATTTAGGGGCTCTGTCAAAAAAGAAAACAAAATTAAACTTAAATTAAGGGATCGTGGAGAGCTAAGGACCAAATTTGATTTTTGACCAAAAACCCTAAAACCCACGTATAAACACCTTCTTTCTTGCATCTTTAAGGGGGAACTGTTCATCTCTGTCTCATATATTGGAAGCCAGCCGCCTCTCTCAAAACAAACCTCACAAACCCGCACAAACCAAGCCTCCTGCTACCCCACTGCCCAAAAACAGCCCCCCACTACCCTTCCTCGCCTCCTCCTCGCCCAGCTCTCGCAGGCCTGCGCCAACGCACCACTGTCCAGGCCACCAGGCGCTGGGCGAGCAGCAGCCTCGCAGCCCAGGCCACCAGGCACGCCCACGAAGCAACAGCCCCCTGCTCGCGCCTCACCGCGCAGCAACCCTCGTAGTGCCTCGCAGCCAGCCTTGTTCAATAAAATCCTAACTACATGATTTTGCTGTCTCTGCTTGCTTGTTCTTTTTCGGAATTGCTCTTGCTTCCAACCTTTTAAAACTGTCTCTGTTACTTTAAGAGTGATTCCTGTTTCAGAAAATCTCTCACCAACCCGAAAACCATGCCTGTTACAGCCACAGTGCTCAGCTGCTACAGCAATTCCAAGTTTTAATAATATTGAGCTTCCTAGATACAGTTTCAATGACCATTATTAATAATATTGAGCTTGTTTGGAAGCATGAAAATGGTAGTAAATGCATCTAGATGAAAAAAGTTGCGAAATTGGTTGGTGATACATTTACTTGTGAATTGTGATCTATCCTAGCTGTCTTATTAAGTGATTACCAGCAGGTGAGCTCCGCTATCCCTCCTATCCAGAGCAGAATGGAACCTGGAGATTTCCAGGAATCGGAGCCTTACAATGTTATGATAAGGTATTTGAATTTTGTTTTATTTCTTAAGCAAATTAAAACACCAACTTGTAATCTTCTGCTTCTTACCTGGTATCTGTAACATGATGGAGCATATGTTGAGTAGCTTGACAGGCTACTGATTTTTAAGAAAAAATTAGCAAAAAGGCAGAAAGAGAGTAAAAATAGCAATGGCATCACTGTAATTAGAAAAGCAAAGTAAGGGTGCAAAATTAAAGGAAACACTGCTGTAGGAACAGTGCCATCCACAGTGTTTTGTGTGAGGGTGAACAGTCTCACCCTCACATCTTTTAGAGTCTTTTGTAATTTGGTTTAAGAATTAAGATTTGGAAGATCGAAACAACTTAATTTAGGGAGTCCCTACATGGAGAAAGTGGAAAAAGAAAACAAAACCAAAAAGAATCATAAGCCATGGCCCATGGCAGTGTATTGACATTGACAATTACAGTAGAGTAGCTAGTATATTGACCACAAAGTCTTCTCTCATTTAGAGATTTCTTGATCAGACCATCTTTCATTTAGATAATGATCAGATTGTAATGTTCAAATAAGATTGTCTGTAAGAATTACTTGGAGTAGGAGAAGGCAATATAAAAGTGGAATTGTCTCTTATCATCAACAAGAAGCTTCTTCTTCTTTGCTGCTGGAAAGCAAAATCTTTATGAATTGTAAGTATGTTTTTCTGGTTCATTGGTCTTGTATATTTAAGAATTATATAGGCTTCATGAATGAGTTTTATGAAAAAATTAATTCCTCCATCTGTAATTCTTTGGGTCCACAAGTGACTGCTATTAATTCCTCTGTTAGAAGTAACATGTTTTTGCAATGAAAGTAATTCCTAGCATTGGTAGCAAGTGAGAAGTGATTAAATTAAGTAATTAGGTGGAGGAGAGGCGACCCAGTTGTGGAGATGCAGATGCAGTGATCATAATTAGTCAAAAAGAATAAAAGATTCTTAGATCAGAAAAAATCAACTTGTAAAAAAGAAAAATCATAATCTTGTATTCACCAAAAAAAAAAAAAGCAAAGAAAATTTAATCATATTGAAGATAAATCACATGGTGCACATTTGTCGTAAAAAATTTGAGGAATTTTTTGATAATATCTGTTGGGTGGGTTCTTGTAGTTTGGAGTTTGTGCAATAATTTTACTAATTATGATCATCTTTCTCTTAATTGGTGTTCTGGGTGTGTTTTTAGGAGAAAAAGCAGAGCACTTATTGTTTTCTATTCTCAAGTGATCAAGGCAGACGCAATCTTGTAACTGTCCGATATGGCATCTTCATCTGCTGCGGCTCATCTATGGAAGTATGATGTGTTCCTTAGTTTTAGAGGCAAGGATACACGCAATAACTTTACCAGCCATCTTTATGATGCTTTGTGTCGTAAGAAAATCAAGACCTTCATTGATGATGGGCTTGAAAGAGGAGAAGAAATTACCCCTGCGCTCTTGAAAACTATTGAAGAATCAAGAATTTCTGTAGTAATTTTCTCAAAAGACTATGCATCTTCTTCATGGTGTGTGGATGAACTGGTGAAAATACTAGAATGCAAACAGAGTTATGAGCAGATTGTTTTACCAGTCTTTTATCATGTAGACCCGTCTGATGTTAATGAACAGACGGGTAGTTTTGGGAATGCATTTTCTGAACTTGAAAAAAAATTTAAGGGGAAGATGGACAAGGTGCCAAGGTGGAGGACTGAACTGACAAATGCAGCCAATATATCTGGATGGGATTCGCAGGTCACTAGGTAATTATAGCTTTCTCTTCTACTCTTTTTTCTTTTTTTGGAAATTTCACATGCATATTTGTGATATCATTATTTATGCCAATTTTAGTCTCTTGCCCATTATTCGTTCTTGAGAATATAGCTTATGTTAATCTTTCTAGCTAACACGGGCAAAGTTAGGCGTTGTTGATTTATAGCAACTAAAATTTTTTGCTCATATTAATATATATTTTTTTCTCCTATAAGTTCTTTGTTCTTCTTAGTTCATGAAAAATAGCTTCCATGAACTGCTAATGGGCTTGCACCATAATGGTACTCTTACAAAATCAGAGGGTGAGCTGTTGAGTTCAACACCTCACCTTTGACAATCCATTTCAAATATACAATAAAAGAGGAATTTCATTGTCATACGTCTCTTTCACCTCTTTCTTATAGATAGTTTATGCCAGTTAAAGATGCGACTTCATTTTTTGCAGTCCAGAGTCCAAACTCGTAAGAGAAGTTGTGGAAACAATTTGGAAAAAGTTGAATCGTGCATCCCCAAGTGAATTAAGAGGTCTGGTTGGAATAGATTCACGCATTGAGCAAATCAACAAATTACTGTCTATTAGGTCGTCAGATGTCCGCACTATAGGAATTTGGGGGATGGGTGGTATAGGTAAGACAACTGTTGCTGAAGCTTTCTTCTATAGCATCTCAAGTCAATATGAAGTCTGCCACTTTCTTCCGAACATAAGGGAGGAATCAGAAAAGGGTGACTTGGTTTGTCTACGAGATGAACTTCTTTCTAAGTTACTGCAGGAAGAAAATCTACACATTGGCACTCCACATATAGGACCTACTTTCGTCAAGGATAGGATCTGCCAAAAGAAAGTTCTCCTTGTTTTGGATGATGTGAATGATGTACGCCAATTCCAGCTTTTAATTGAAAGGCATGATTTGTTTGGTGCAGGAAGTGTCATCCTTGTAATATCAAGAGACCAGCAAGTGCTTAAGAATGTAGTTGATGAAATATACGAGGTTGAGGCATTAAACTTCCACGAAGCTATTCAACTCTTTAGCGTGAATGCTTTTAAGGGAAACCACCCCCCAAAGGGTTATATGGAGTTATCAATCAATGCCATAAATTATGCTAAAGGCAACCCACTGGCTCTTCAAGTTTTGGGTTCCTTCTTATTTGGCAAAGGGAGACATTTTTGGGAATCTCAATTGAATGAGCTTGAAAGCATTCCTGAACTGAATCTGTACGACTTGCTGAGAATAGGCTTTGATGCATTACGTGATAATAACATGAAGAGTATATTCCTCGACATTGCGTGTTTCTTTAAAGGGCATCAAGTTGATTTTGTAAAGCTGATATTAGATGGTTGTGGTTTCAAAACAGAGATTGGATTCAGTGTTCTCATTGACAAGTGTCTCATTAAAATTTCAAATGACAAGGTTGAAATGCATGATCTTTTGCAAGAAATGGCTCATGAAATTGTTCGACAAGAATCCATTAAGGAGCTAGGAAGATGAAGCAGATTATGGAGTCCTAAAGATGTTTACCAAGTGTTGACCAAAAATTTGGTGAGGCTCATATGCACGTTTTTTTTTTCCCTTCATGTATGCTACAAATTGGTTGTAATAAGTTTAAAATCCAACTTATGCTTTATCTGTCCTTTTCTGGCATATTCAGGGAACTGGAAAAGTTGAAGGGATATTCTTTGATGTTTCAAAAATAAGAGAAATGGAGTTGAGTTCTAGAGCCTTTGCAAGGATGTATAATCTTAGGCTGCTAAAATTTACAATTCTGAAGTTGAAAGGAAATGTATAGTGCATCTTCCTCATGGCCTCGAGTATCTTTCTGATGAGTTGAGGTACCTTCACTGGAATGAATACCCTTTGACTTCTTTGCCTTCCAGTTTTTGTCCAGAGAACCTTGTTGAACTTAACCTATCATCTAGCAAGGTTAAGCAGCTGTGGAAAGGAGACCAGGTATTCTTAAATAACTCTATGCATCCACATTTGTTTCTTTGAAAATAACTATGATAATTTCTTGCCGTCAATTTTATTTTGCTGCAGAATCTCGGCAATTTAAAAGATGTCAACCTCAGCAATTGTAAGAGCATAACTTTCATGCCAGACCTTTCAAAGGCCAGAAACCTTGAGAGGTTGAATCTTCAATTTTGTACAAGTTTGGTTAAGGTTCCTTTATCCATTCAGCATCTAGACAAGCTTATTGATTTGGATTTGAGACACTGCACAAGTCTTATCAGTCTTCCCAGTAAAATTAATTCAAGACGTCTGATGACTCTTAACCTTTCTGGTTGTTCAAATCTCAAGATGTGCCCAGAGGTCGCAAGGAAACTGACGTATTTAAATTTAACTGAGACTTCTATACAAGAGCTTCCCCAATCAATTGGGGATCTTAGTGAACTTGTTGCATTGAATTTGAATAACTGCAAGCGCCTTGGGAATCTTCCAGAAAACATATTTTTGATGAAATCACTTCTTGTTGCTGACATCTCTGGCTGCTCATCGATCAGCAGGTTTCCAGACTTTTCAAGGAATGTGAGATACTTGTACTTGCATGGAACTGCAATAGAAGAAATTCCCTCTTCAATTGATGGTCTAAGGGAACTAATTTCTTTGGATCTAAGTGGCTGCAACCGGCTAAAGAATCTTCCTAGTACAATTTCTAAGTTGGGATGCCTTGAAAAACTTGATCTTTCTGGTTGCTCAAGTATCGCCGAGTTTCCGAAGGTTTCAAGGAATATTAGGGAGCTGTATTTAGATGGGACGGCAATAAGAGAAATTCCCTCATCAATAGAGTGTTTGTCTGAACTTGCTGAATTGCACCTACGAAATTGCACAAACTTTGAGTTTCTACCTAGCAGTATCTGTAAGTTGAAAAATCTGCAAAGGCTTAATCTCTCAGGTTGCAACCAACTTAAGAATTTTCCTGAAGTTTTGGAGCCAATGGAACGTTTGAGATATCTCTTTTTAGACCATACACGTATAAGAAAGTTGCCTTCACCGATTGGAAATCTGATGGGACTGACTTGCTTGGAAGTGGGAGACTGCTTATTTCTAAGGGGTATCGAATGTTTTGACTTGCAATTGCCTGAGATGGACATGGATTTAAAATTTTTGCGTCAGCTAACTGTATGTCGCAGTGGGATATCGGAATTGCCTGACGGTCTTGGCTGTTTATCTTCGCTGGAAGTGTTAGATCTAAGTGGAAACCCTTTTCGCACTATACCTATAAGCATCAATAAACTTTTTGAGCTGCAATATCTAGGCTTAAGGAATTGCAGGAGGCTTGAATCGTTACCAGAGCTTCCACCACGGCTAGTAAAGTTAGATGCACACAATTGCCCGGCCTTGAGGCGAGTATCAAGTTCATCAACTGTAGTTGAGGGAAACATTTTTGAATTCATTTTCACTGATTGTCAGTGCTTGCTTGAGACCGAAAGCCAGAAAACCTTGGCAGACTCCTTATTGAAATTTCAACTTTATACCAAAAGGCAATACGATCAGGTCTGTTTCTCAAACCTCTGTTATACCTTTTTGTGTTCCTCTATTTGTAATCACTGATGTTAAAAAGATGCAATTTTAATGGTTTTAACAGGTGCCTGATGCTCCGGCAGGGGCATCTATTTCCTGCTTCCCTGGTTGGGTAACTCCGATGTGGTTTAGACATCAAAGTTGGGGATCTGCAGAAACAATTCAGCTACCTTCGCATGGGCTGATAGTGAGTTCTCGGGTTTCACTTTATGTGCTGTTATTGGATTTGAAAGAGTTAAACTCAGTTTGCAAGTTAAATGCACATACCATTTCCGCAATAAGCATGGCGATTGCCATGATCTCTATAGCTGTCTCCATTGCTGGTATGATGAGAGGTGTATCTATAGAGAACACGTGTTCGTGGGATTTGATCCTTGTTTGGCTGCTATAAAAGATGATTTTTTTAGTGAATACACTGAAGTCTCCATTGAATTCCAACCCGAAGATTTGGTCGGCAATCTCTTACATTGTTGCCAAATTGTTGAGTGTGGGGTCAGCCCATTGTACGCCAAAGATGATATACGGCACTTTGATTTCATGATGCCAGCGTTCCATCTAAAAAGTTTTTGGCAGCGGCGCCATGTTCGATCTACTTATGCTTTTCGGGCTCGGGATCAAGATAGCTTGGAATCATGGTTCAAAGCCAAGAGAGGTGGCTTTATGAACCGGCTGACATTTACTCAAAATATTTTGAAAAATATATATAAAAAAGACTAAAAGAACTGGTGGTGGTGCTATTCATGTACTGTAGCAGTGCTTTTTTTTTTTTTAATTTAAAAAAAGGGGCTGACCTCCTTTGTTTTTTCTTTTTTCTTATTAATATAGCCGGTAGAAGTGATCATCAGGTTGTAACCACATAACCTTGAATTGGGCTTGGGCTCAGTCGTTGAGATAAGAAATGTGGAATGGTACTTTAAAAAAAAAAAAATTCTTTTATTTATTTATTTTAATTCGTTCTGTTTGTTTGTAGGAAAAAGAATTCTATAATAAGGATTTGAGTAAATTATTTAATTCATTACTGTAGTCAAATGGCAATTGTTTAATTTTTTATAATGGTATTTTCTTAATTTTATTATAGTTTTTTGGGCGTTTATTTTCAAAATTTACACTTCACATTCATTTTTAGTCCTTTATATTTTTAAAATGTATTTTTAAATCTTTATATTTTTTAAAATATTTTGACATCTTATTTTTTTGACTTAGTCTATTTTTGTCTCATATTTTTTCAAAATATATTTTTTGTTCCTCGTATTTTTAAAAAAATATCTTTTTGTTTCTTATGTTTTAAAGTTTTAGAACAAACACATATCGAATTTTATTTTTTTATTAATTAAAATTAATCTCTTAAATTTGTCATTTATTATAAAAAATTCTCATCAAATTAACTTTTTTTTATTTTTTATAAAATTTTATTTGTTAACAAATATGATTTATCTTTCTCTATGAACGAATTTTTAATATGTTTTTTTAATAAACAATTCACGTGTTTCTTTTCCTTATTCTTGATATAATCAATTTTTTTAAATAAAAATTTAAGTTATTTTTATTGCATTCTATTAACTTTAATATATTCATTACAATTTAATTTTTTTAAACATTTTTTTTAAAATTTGTATAGAGTATGGTAATGATGTAATGATGCATACAAAAAAGTATTGATATCATTTATTTTATTAAAAATTAATTATGTCTCTACACTTAGAGCACCAACTATTTCCTATTAATTATTTTTAATATTCTAAATTTATTTTATTTTAAATAAAATAATATTTTAAAAGAACCATATAATAATTCAAATAGATGATTTTATATCTAATATTATTGATTGTTTTTTGTGTGTGTATGAAATGTGCATATTTAAAAAAAAAATTAAAAAGATTCATTAGTTAATTTTTAAATAATTTTTTATAGATTGTTGATATATTTCTTTGATGTAGTCTTATGAAAAAAATATTAAGATATTTTTCAAAAATTTTATATTTATATTATTATATGTTTTTATTTAAGAATGAATGAGAAGTAAAATTTATGGGAACCAATTTTATAGTAGTTTTTACTTTAATTTATTAACTTTAGTATATTCCATACAACTTATATGGTTTTTTTTTTAAATATTGTTTATACTATATAATATGAATCTACTATATATATATATATATCATTAGTTTTGTTGAAAATGAATTATGTATCTACATACATAACTCTAATTATTTTTTTATTTTATTCTTTTTTATGTTCTAAAATCAATATTTTTTTAAAGAAAATAATTGAAATAATGTTTTGAGAGAACCTTTACGTAGCTCTCGTAAAAACCCTTATCCGTAACGCGACGTATTTTAGAATAATTCTATATATATGTCTATTAAGAGTAAGTATAATTATCATTTCATCATGAGAAATTAATGCTTGAAATATGTGATTTATGTTAAATTAAAGTTATTGTGCTTAAGATTAATGGTTTAATTATTAAAGAAATCAAATATGCAAAATCAGTGTTTTAAGGACTATATTCTGTCCGATTTTTGTGTGAATTATTTGAGGACTTTAGGGTAATTTTTGGGTCAACCTCAAATAATGAAAGTTGTTCATCTATGTGTTGAATAGATATGTATAAAAGTTTATAATATTTAGACCTATACATTAAGAGTTATACCAATTATAGTGAGAGTTGTTTCGAAATGCATTCTGCTGGAATTTTGGGAGAAGAATCTGCCCGAATCTCGTGAGATTTATTTGATGCTGTTAGATTGAGTTTTGAGCAAAACTTAAAGAATAAAAGTTGTTTTTCTGTGGTTTTACTAGCTCTATATAAAATTTCATAATTTTTGGATACATATAGAAAGAGTTATGCACATTTTAGTATAGATAGGTTAGGAGGAAACAATGCTGGAATTTTGGGGGAAAATAAATTCCGAATTTTAAAAATGAAAATTTTCGAATTTTTATGAAAGAAAGTATTTTTACTTACTTGAATTAAGTTAATTAATGATTTTAATTAGTCTAAATTTTATATAGACAACTAAGCAAATGCAATAAATGAATGTAATGCCAACTCACCCATTATGGATTCCAAAGCGACTGACTTTCCTCATGACTCACCCATAACTTTTACACCTTATCCCATTAATTTCTAACACTTGTAGCTGAATGAAAGTAAGTATATATATATATATAGAAAGTGTTAAAATGGGAGAAAAATTTTAGTAACCCGTAGGTACCAAAAATTGGGAGAGAAAAGGCAAGAAAGAAAAGAAAGGAAGAAAAACGTGAGGAGAGAAAGGAAAGGAAAGAAAAAGAGAAAAAAAAAGAAGGAAAAGAGCTAAGGAAATTCTAGTCAAATCTAAAAGAGGTAAGTAGGTTTCATTTTTTAGCTGATTAATGTCTTAAATTATTTTTTTTAAGTTATTTTGTTAGTGTTTGTTTCATGGGTTGTAATAATTTTCAATAGTTATATGCTTGATGCTTGGGATAAATCTATGTATGGATGCCTTGTTGTGATGATTTATGATGTTATGATTTTTTCAAAAATGTCCAAGTATGTGGTGATGGGTTGGATTGAACTTGGACTAAATTTAAGTGAACTAAAACATGTTTAAAGTTGGCTTGGAATGAACTAATAAATTAGTGTTGATAAGGAGTAAATTCTGTCCGAATTTTGGGGTGCATGTTCAAGGATTTTAGGTCACTTTATGGGTGAAACTTAAAGAATAAAAGTTATTCATCTATGTTTCAACTAATTCCCTTTAAAATTTCTTGGTCATTGGATTCATGTACAAAGAGTTATAACCGATTTAGTATGGATAGCTCTAAACAAACTACTATTAGGCAGATTGCTCTCTAAGTTTCAAAAATTTGTAATTAATTGTGTACTTGGTATTTAGACCTAATTTTTGGATATGTTATAAATAAATATGTCTAGTATCTAAAATAAAATGAGTAAGATGTAATTATGTTCTGAAATTGGAAAATTATTTACTCGATTAGGAGTTGCCCGGTAATAAACCCTAAAACCAAAGAATTAGACTTGGACAAAATTAATGGGTTTGGAATAAGCTAAATGGGCTTGGACTAAATAAAATGAAATTGAATAAAGTCAATGGAATTAGGATAAAGTTAATGGGCTTGGATTAAAGTAAATGGACTTGGACCTTCTTTTAAATATTAACGAAACTAATTAACAATATTAATGAGCGGAGGTTGTGTTCTCGCTATGAGTATCATGATTGGTATGTGAGCAATGGGTAAATTCTGAATGTGGGTTGGACCATGAGTATGGCATGAGAATAAAGGGTTGGTACCCGAATTTGGTTGAATGTGATTAAATATGTCATCACGTGCATCATGTGCATAGTGGGTGGTTTAAGACAAGTCAATTGATTGAGAAATGGTTTATACATCTAGGTTTGATAACCTAACTGGAATAAATGGGTATTAGTAGTTCGAGTACTTTAGGCTATGTGCCTGCACTATTAGACGATGGATTTTCGCTAATAGTAGTTACAACGAGGGGTAATTCCGTTGTAGCGAGAAGATGATCCGAGGATCATCCGGATGAAATCAAGTTGTGTGCTTGCACCTTGTTAGACGATGGATTCCCGCTAACGGTAGTTACAACGAGGGATAATTTCGTTGTAGCGGAAGGTGATCTCGCGGACCACCCGGATGATAAATAGAGTAGACTGGCTAATACTTAGGGTACCCGAGATTAAAATTTATGAGTATGGTGGGAAGTCAAAACAACATTGCATATCACGTGCATCATCCTACTTGCCGAGCTTCGGCTTACCCTGTTGTTATTTTTTTATGTCTTGACGGAAAAAGACAAGTTGGTATGGATGCGGCTGGCTCCTCCTAATCGGCTCATGTGAGGCACCATATATTAGTTTTTATTTTCTCTCGTAAATTTAGGGTATGGAGTTCGTGAGAAATTGAATATTGTCCGTAATGTTTTATTAATGTATTTAATTATGTTATGTAAATTTTATCTTAAGGAGTTATATACATAATGTACTTGTTAAAGTTCTAAGAATATCATAAGAGAACTACTTAGAGTTTAGGGTATGTCGGCGTAACGTGCTTCGTTCGGTACTCTACTTGGGTAGTAGAAATATGACTAGGGCGGGGGCGTTACGGTATGGTATCGGAGCAATGGTTTAGGGAGTTAGGTAAAACCGTAAGTGCCACATGAGCACGAGGACTCGGTTTGCTCATGGATGGGTAATTTTAATTTACGGATTCTCTTCAAGTATGTATGTTTTTTATTGTGTAATGTGTATAAAATTTTATTTGAAATTATTAACAACAACAAACCCTATCACTTGTAGATGTCGGCTTTGTATCGAGTACCAAGCGTGCCTAGAATGCGATGGCAACGAGCGGCACTAGCTGCGTTTAGGGTCGAGCTAAATAACCTCACTATGGTTCCGAAACAAGACACGGTGGCACATATTATGCGATTTCATGACCTACTTCAGCGAATCACATTCGCCGATGCCTCTTTTAACCGGTATTTTAGCTCGAACTTCCTTCGGATAACTTTACGTCGGACTCTTCCACCGGGAGACCAACGATTGTTAGACGAAGTTTGAAAAGACATGATAGACCAACACTCTTATCGAGCTCTAATTCGGACCTTTCTACCAACCCGGGCTAGACGATCCCTTA